CCTTGATTTTATCAATGTTGTTCTTGGTCGAAACGGCATGTCCCCCCCGAAAAAATGCCTTTCTCTAGTTGTCGACGGCGTCGCCGATAATAATCCGGAGGATGGGCTTGCTTCTTTTTATCCGTAAATAAATCAGGAATAGACATAGCGTCGAATAACAGGCCTTTCAAGCAGAAAAGAACAGCAGACCGAAAGGAGAGGAAAACCGATATCACGGAAAAGGAAGAGAACAGAAAAGAAGCGGTGAAGACTGACCCCCAGAAAGAATCTGGCAGTCCAAAGAGCCGAAAGGGACAAAGCATTTGACAGCTCTTGGACGAAGTGCACTGAACAGGAGCTACGGGTTGACGGGGGCAGGATCTCTTTGTGTATTAGAAAAGCTGACTTGAGTATGGTCCTGCGCCTAACAGAAGGACCTTTCCTATTTTGTAATAGTGGCTACAATTGAGAACATAAAAGACTGGACATGACGACATCTCTGATTGTCTACCCTGAGTACCCAGAGCGAAGGGTGAGCAGATCCCTGAGCAACCATGAGTGCTCAGGGAGCAAGCCGTGATCACTGAGGGAGCATACAAAGTAGTGGGCCGAAACAGATCACTTCCGACTTTGAGGACTAAGATTCTCGTGAAACCGACACTTAAACTGGCGCAAGAGTAGCCGTTCTCAGCGCCGAATTTACCGTTACCTAGCGTTGTGGTGCGATAGAAGGACCTCACTGACATGGTATTAGACTAGAACCTGCAAAAAGCTACATTCAAGAAAGGGTAGATTTTATTTTATCTCGCACAACTTAGTTGAGTATATCAGAAGACACAAAGGAAATGGATCTAAAACAAAATTAAAAATGCAAAATACTACCATACGGGGAATAGGATCCTTATTATTTAGCTTTACGAACCTAGTGTGACAGTAGAGAGAGAGAAGAAGAAACATTGAATTCATATGGAATGTTCAAGTTGACTGTCCATTTATATGGGTCGGCCAGACAAAAAGAAATAGACTGCAAAACACTGTCGAGCCTCGGGCATCTGCATCAGAGCCTTTGATCTTCCATAGAAAAGACATTGGTCAACTACTGAGTGTCAAGCCGAGATGTCGCCGGTGTAAGGCGCTGGATGAAACTTAAGCTCTAATCGGTGACCTTTCGGTCCTGCAAGGTAGAAGTCGAGCAGGTCCATATCGCCGCGCGCATGGATAGATGTGGTAAAATGGGCATAAACTGCGGCAACCAAATATTTCATCGCTGCATAGCCAAAATATTTTGGTTAGCATGGTCCTCGATTTCAGATCGCAAAGACTTACAGTAATATGCAAAATTGGAACCGATACACATCCTTGGCCCGCTACTAAATGCCCAAAACCATCGCTTCATATTTGCGAGCTCGTCAGGTGAAGCATCAAGCCACCGCTGAGGTTTCCATTGGAAGGGGTCCGGGAAGACTTCAGGGGTCCGATGAAGTATGTACGCATATGACTGGACAATGGTGCCTGCTGGGATATCAGAGTATCCTCCAAGGGAGCAAATCTTCGGAACCACTCTAGGCTGACCACCGGGTACTGCAGGCCAGAGACGAAGTGTCTCCATAATAATCGCATGGAGAACTGGGAGTGCGTCAATATCTTTCGGCTCGGCAAAGTCATCAACTTCGATCTTTCTTTTCAAGTCATCTTGTTGTGGAAGCTTTATACCACGCAGTTCCTCGCGAAGCTTTGTCTGCCATTCGGGATTCCGGCACATTTCATAGAATAGATATGTTTCAGTGTTGCCGCTAGTCTCGAATGCGGCCGAGCTGTGGGCAAACATGTCGCTTGCGATCTGCATCCTTTGCGGATATGCACTTTTGCTACCATCGGGCTCGCTCATTGATTGGAGAGCTTGCTGGAAGATAACGGGCTGGTCATCACTATGAATGGGCTCGGAGCTTGCAAGGAGCTGTTGGGCACTGTCGCATTTTTGGAGATTCCAGTCTTCGGCGGCGGCAAATTTCGTGTCAACAGATCGAGGAATTAAATAAATCCCAATCCTGCGAAGGAAATTTGCAAGCTTTGGAAAGTAATACTGCCAAAAGAGAAACGGATAAGGTGCGAAAAATCCGTCGAGGTATAGCTTCCGCTCTTTGTGATCCTCTAGTAAATTGCTGCCCAACGAACGGCCGAATTGGAATTGAACGAAAGTATCCATTGAGTATGCATAATTCATTCCAAGTACCTCGACAGGCTTGTCTTCACTGGAGGCTTTTCGAATTATAGGCAGATATCTCCCAAACAAGACATCGCGAGTGGCTGCACGTGCTACCGGAGACGAGGTGACGAAAGATTTGGAGAAAGTGTTGGAGATCATTCTTTTACGGGCGGAATGCAGCGCGTTGTCCTCGAAAGTGAAAATGTTTTCTGTGCTGTTTATGAGAATTAGCTGCTTTATTCCACATGTGAGACCAGATAAATTTCCATGGCATCGTTAATGCGTTTGTGTCCGTTCTGTAAACTTACTTGTAAATAGCAAACCCATTAAAATAAAAGGCAGGTTTAGGGAAACCACCCTGGTATATCTTTTTTACTCCATCATCAAAAGTGTTGATACTGAGAAGTTTCGGTCCAAGAAGCAGAGAGGGTCCCAGCTTCATGTGCTTGTCATGAACCGTGCGGTTCTCCTGGTTTGTCCATTTTAACCAGTATATCCAGATCGAGCAGAACCGGCATGACCAGTGAGCCGCAGGAACTTTGGAAAGAGGCGAAAAAATGACTGGATATATGAGGTATTTGTAAAGGAGGAGACCAAGAACACTGAGAAGAGGTAGAAAGGAAATATGAAGCTCCATCTTGCAAAGCTTACCGGTTAGTGGGAGGAAAGAATTATCCAGAGTATATAGGTGCGCTGTCAAGAGCTATATATTTTGTAATGAATAGCAGCATACTATTTGATATGAAGTTTCTATGCCTTACGCTGTCTCTGTCAAGTTGAAAAGTGGAGGCGGATAGACCAAATCTATAATGGCCTCGTGTCGAGGATAAGCGAGGAAGGTATTTTCTCGTGTCGAGGTCAAGTTTAGAAAGAAAAAGCCCATGAACATTTGGTAGCACCCAGGGTAGTAAAAGAAAACTTTCCCAATATTTTCCCTCTGTGTATTTCGTACATATGTACCTGTATGTACCAGATTTTAGGCCGCGGATACGAATTTCCCGATCGGGGTGCCGCCGCTTTATGAGGGTGCTCAGGGTCCTGCTCACTGAGTATTTCACAGTACAGGGTGATTGCTTAGTGAGCACTCAGGTTTGCTCAGTGAGCGCTCAGGGTATACTCAGTCAGCACTCAGGTCTTGCTCACTGAGTACTCAGACTGCGCTCAGTGAGCGCACAGACATCCTCATCTTGCCGCCCGAAAATAAAGGCCGAATCTATCACGGGATAGTTAGTTAACGTATTTCACAAGCGAGTGACGCACACAAGCGAGTGACGCAGTCCGATACACATAGTAAATGGGATAAATTACAACTTGATATG